CCCCCCGCCCTCCCAAACACAAAGTGGGGGGGGGGGGCGGAGAGGAGGTTGCAAGTCTCAGACTTGTAGGCAAGTAAGTGGCTGCTGTCAGGTGGGGAAGGGAGTGAGGGGTGCACAAGGAGAGGTCAGAGTGCATGAGGCTGTGAGGGGGGCCCAAGAGGTGCCATGTGGGTCAGGGAAGGTGTGCAGGGGCATGGGGGGTCAGGGGGGTACATGGGGTTGTGCGAGTCGTTGGCATGGTGCAATCACAGAGGTGCTGGGGAGGGTACACAGGTGAGGGAGACTTACCCCAGCAACTTGTGGCCTTCCCTGCTGGCTTCTCCATTGATTTTCTGGGGAAGCCGGTAGGAAAGTTGCAGGTGGTGATCACATGATCACAGGGTTCTTGGCAACCAATCATAAGTGCAAATGGGTTACCAAGTGCCCAGATCACAATCACGTGACCACAGGGGTGCTGGGATAGCTATAACTCCAAGAACAATTCATAACAGCGATTCGTTCAGTGCTGACATAACTTTGAACAGTTGCTGAATGAATCGTTGTAAGTTGAGGAGTACCTGTAAATAGCCATCCTTCCTATTAATTTTCCTAATAGTAATCCAGCAAAAACTTTATTCTGTTGCCTGCATATTTGGTTCAGTCCACCTAATACACACAAGTATCCTCATATATGATCTATACTCAGTTTTACATAGTTACCATTTGGAGGAGTTGGTACAGAACTGGGACCACCAGTATCTTACCTTCCATCACATGTTGACCAAATGTATGAAAGACAAAACTATAGAATAAGACCTATTAAATTCAGTGAAGCTTAATTCTACAAAATGACGTTTGGGAGTGTACTGATAAGCATAGGCCAGGCATGTATTTGTTGATACCAAAGCAATTAAACTAGAAGATTAGAGCCAAAGTAGTTCAACTGGAAGTAACATTGTGACTAACACTGTATGCAAATGTTTAAGAACTGCTTAGGAATTAACATTGTCAAATAATAGATGGGTTCTATATCTATTCATCACCATACTTCATTAATGTATTCTGAATAACAAATTGAAATCTCTGCTATTAGCTGTAAAACAACTATTCCAAAGACAACCAGACCCCATTTGTTGTGATAAATTCAGCCTAATTCTCTCCCTCTCTCTCTCTCTCTCTCTCTCTCTCTCTCTCCCTTTTTTCTTTTCTTGTTAATATGTCGTTCTTTTTCCCCATTCAAATATACTTATTTTACTTTGGGAACAAGATTCATAGAATGCCTTACCTGCAGTTCACAAAAAATAAGACAGTGTTTTATAAGACCCAAACATGACTGTCTAAAATACTGGGCAGAAAAAGAAAGGAAGAAAGAGGAAAATGAGCAAAATTAGACTTCAGTTCCTAAAACTATAAAGGAGAAAAGAAACAGTTATAATAAAGGAATAAATAGATACTCTGTTGCATCATGTCCTGCTTCTGACTTTGCTGCATATTATAGAATAGCTGCTAGATTATGTTGGGAGGAAAAGACGCTAACAAAGCTGATTCCTCAGAAGAGTTGATGGAGTACAGAGTTATGTTGTAACTATAGGGTAAAACTTGTAATTGTATTTATAACTGCTGTAAAGATTGAAAGCTTCTTCTTTGTATCTTGTTTCTTTGTTTTCTGTTTTTTTTTTTTTACTTTCTTGCATTTTTAGTTTTCTCTTTGATTTCTTTCTTTCTTAGTCTGTATTAGTTTTTATCTTCCTTTTTTTTTAAAAAAAATAATGAATTATTATTGTGTGTGTGTGTGTGTGTGTGTGTGTATGTATATATATATATATATATATATATACATACATACATACATACATAC